GCAGTGGACAAACCTCCCTTTAGTAAACCTCCCCTTAGTGAAAACGGCCGAGGACCGAGACCGACGGACCCGTACCCGCAAAAATGACGGCCGCGACGCCCTCTCGCGAACCGAAAACGGCCAATTCCTTGATCGACGTGTCAGGGTAGGAGGTCTATCAACCTCCTATCATATTATTGTGGACCAGCCAGCTTCCTGAAGGTTTTCCACAACGGCTAGGGGAACACGTAGTCCGATAGCTTAGCCGAGCTCTGGCCGCAACCTTCGGCCACATACGCGCTTCCAAAAAGGCGAGACCGGGCTCTTCTGGGAGTCCCCTCGGGGGGGACAGATTGGCATGGGACTCCCGTGGGCCACCCTCTTGGTCCATTTTGATGGCATCTACTTCGCGTTAATACTCCTCCTCCTTCTTTCTCCGTCCTTTTATAAAGGATTACAAATTGATTTTCCTTTATGGCAGACTACATGTCGATTCCTTCTATGGCGAAATACAAATTGATTTTTTTGTGGCGGATTACAAATTGATTCCTTTTGTGGCCGATTACAAATTGATTCCCTTTGTGGCGGATTTACAAATTAATTTCTTTTGTGGCGGATTACACATGGAATCCTTTTGTAGAGGATTCCAAATTGATTCCTTTTGTTGCGGACTACATGTTGATTCCTTTTGTGGCGAATTACAAAGGGAATCTTTTTGTGGCTCATTACAAACATAATTCTTTTTGTTGCGAAATACAAAGGAAACCCTTTTGTGACGAATTACAACGGAAATCCTTGTGCGGCGGATTACAACTTGATTCGTTGCGTGGAGATCTTTAGCGGTCTGGACCTGCGTGAGGTTCCCAGGATTTATAAATTTCTGAAGTTCTTAAATTTCAAAAATTCTTGTTCGGAAAACCAGGTTTCGCTTGAGACCCTCTCAAAATGTTATAAATCCATGGAGCTTGGCTGCTGTAAACTTCGAAAAGGGGTCTCAAGCGAAACCTGCTTTTCATTGTTTTTCCATTGATTTCACAGAAAAACACAATTTCGCTTGAGACTGCCTTTGGTTTTTACATCAGCCAAACCCAATGGATTTATAAAATTCTGAGGGGGTCTCAAGCGAAACCTGGTTCAGGCCGCTCGCAGGTTGGGAACCTCTCGCAGGTTCAGGCCGCTAAAGATCCCTACAAAAGGAATCAATGTGTAACCCGCCACAAAAGGATTCCTTTTGTAATCCGCCACAAAAGGAATCCAGTTGTAATCCGCCACAAAAGGATTCCCTTTGTAATCCGCCACACAAGGATTCCCTCTGCAATCCGCCACAAAAGGAATCAAATTGCAATCCGCCGCAAAAGGATTCCCTGTGTAATTCGCCACAAAAGGATTTCCTTCTGCAATCCGCCACAAAAGGAATCAATGTGTAATCCGCCACAAAAGGATTGCCTTTGTAATTCGCCACAAAAGGATTCCCTTTGTAATCCGCCACAAAAGGAATCAAATTGTAATCCGCCGCAAAAAGAATCAATTTGTAATCCTCCACAAAAGAAGACAATTTGTAATCCGCCACAAGAGGAATCGATTTCTAAGGCCGCCGCAAAATGAATCCCTTTGTAAGGCCGCCACACATGTAATCAATATGCAAGGCCGCTACCGCCCCCCCCCTCCCCCCCTAATCGATTCGTATTGTTTTTCTATAGAAGGGGGCCGGGGCGAAGACGGGGGAGGAGGGGATCTGCCAGTGGCCAGCTGGACCTCTCCCCCCCCACCACCACCAAAACAACACGACCATCTTGCTTTGCCATTCTCATCATTCCTCCGTTTCTCCACGCCCAGAGGGAAGAAGGGAGGAGGGGCGGGAGGGAACGTGGGATCCTCCACACATTGAGTAATTTTGTGGAGGGCCTTTTCAACATGGATTCTTTTGTGTGGATAAGTTTCATGTCAGACTATGTTGCGGGGCATACTCCGCAAATTCATTCCCTTTTGCGGAGGGGTCTCCATGTACCATGTATTGACTCCTTGTGGACGATCCTCGTCGTCGCTCCCTCTATTCCCCCTCATCATCGTCATCAGAATCCCTCCTCCGACTCCCTTTCAGCGTCCTCCCCGTTCTCCTCTCCTTGGCTTCCCCCATCTCTCTTCTCTCTTTCCTCCGCCCCCGTCCCTTCTCCGACTTTCCCCATTCCTCTATCATCCATGTTCCGCCCCGCTCCTTTCCTTCTCCTCCAGTCGGAATACAATATGAACGCATTGGGAGTTACACTGATAATGCAACAAGAATTGCGCCCTCTCCCTCGCCCACTTCGGATTGGAGCACAACGGGAATGCAATGGGAAAGCAATCGGAATACCGAAAGCATTCCTCCCCCGCCCCTACTCCTTTCCTCGTCCTCCTCCTACAGCTGGGATCCCACAAGAAGGCAACAATCATGCAATGTTGATTCACTTCCCCCCTCCCCTCCCCCTCCCCCAATAGAAATACAATAGGAATACAACACGAAAGCTAATACTACAATCGGAAATTCTCCCCTCCTTCCGTCATCTTCCATGGAAGGTATCTTCCTGGGCCCATCCGTCCCTCCCCTCTCCTCCCCCCATGAATTGCCTCCCTCCTTCCCTCCGTGCTCTTCCGAAAGGAATACCACATACAACAGGAACCCATTAGGAATGCAATGAGGATTTCCTCTCTATTCCCCCTCCCTTCCTCCAATAACAATACAATGCGAAGGCAATAGTAATGCAACGGCAATCCCCCCCCCCCTTATCTCTCCATCCCTCGGCCTCCCTCCTCCTCCGCCTCCTCCAGTGGGAATGCAATAGGAGACACACTATGAATGCGTATTTGTCAGTTTCCCCAAGGCCCAGAGGGAAGGGACGGGGGGCGTGGGATCCTCAACGCATTGAGTGAGTTTGTGGAGGGCCTTTTCAACATGTTTTTTTGTGTGGATAAGTTTCATGTCAAACTATGTTGCGGGGCATGTTCCACCAAGTCATTCCCTTTTGTGGCGGGATCTCAATATACCATGTTTTGACTCCTTGTGTGGAAGATTTACATGTTGATGGCTTTTGTTGACGACCCTCGTCGTCACTCCCTCTATTCCCCCTCGTCGTAATCGTCATCAGGATCCCTCCTCCGACTCCCTTTCAGCGTCCTCCCCTTTTCTCCTCCACTTGGCTTCCCTCATCTCTCTTCTCTCCTTCCTACGCCCCCACCCCTTCTCCGACTTTCCCCTGTCCTCTCTCCTCCATATTCCGCCCCGCTCACTTCCTTCTCCTCCAATCGGAATACAATATGAACGCATTGGGAGTTACACTGATAATGCAACAAGAATTGCGCCCTCTCCCTCGCCCCACTTCGGATTGGAGCACAACGGGAATGCAATGGGAAAGCAATCGGAATACCGAAAGAATTCCCCCCCCCGCCCCTGCTCCTTTCCTCGTCCTCCTCCTACAGCTGGGATCCCACAAGGAGGCAACAATCCTGCAATGTTGATTCACTTCCCCCCTCCCATCCCCCTCCCCCAATAGAAATACAATACGAATACAACACGAAAGCTAATACTACAATCGGAAATCCCCGCCCCCTCCTTGCCTCCCTCCTTTCCTCTGTACTTTTCCAATGGGAATACAATATGAACCGATTAGGACTGCAATAACAAATTCCTCCCCCCTCCCCCACCCTCCAATAGAAATACAGTGCGAATACGAAAGGAATGCAACGGCAATTCACCTCCACCCTCTGTCCCCCCCCCATCCCTCCATCCTTCCGCCTCCCTCCTCCTCCTCCTCCTCCTCCTCCTCCTCCTCCTCCTCCTCCTCCTCCTCCTCTTCCTCCTCCTCCTCCAAGAGGAATACAGTCGGAGACACAATAGGAATGTGTGTTCTTATAAGATGAGGGGGGGAAGGAGGTATTGAGGAATTCGCATCGGATAGTTGCAAAATCGCACGTTCGAGGGGGCGGAGACACAACCTCCACCCTCTTCCCCCTCCTTCCTCCTGCAATAGGACCACAACAGGGCTCGATTGGAGGAGGGGCAGAGGATTGGAGGAATTCTTTTTGTGTTCTTATTGCGTTCATATTGGGGGAGAGGGAGAGAGGGGGAGGGTGCGGGGAATTCACATTGCATTTCTATAATATTATTATTGGATGCGTATGGCAGCAGGAGGGAGGGAGGTGGGGAAGGGATGGCGTGGGTGGATGGGGGTGGGTGGAGGGGGGAAGGAATTCCTATTGCATTCCACATGTACACTTCCTCTTGTATACTTATTGGAAGTATAAGCATAGATTCACAAGTATATGTGAACAACAGCAACGCTCCCAAGAGGTCGAACGATTTTTTACCGTCCCAAATGCAACTTTGATACGGCCTGTGCGGCCGAGGGGACTCCCAGAACAGCCCGGCCTCAAAAAGGCAGGGGGCGGCTGTGATTCGCCGTAGACGTCGTCGATCGTATTGATAATAAGGGAACAGCAGGAGGAGAGGCTCCTTCCCCGCCCCCAGCCTCCGCCTCCGCCTCCGCCTCCGCCTCCGCCTCCGCCTCCTCCTCCTCCTCCTCCTCCTCCTCCTCCTCCTCGTCCTCCTCCTCTCCTCCTCCTCCTCCTGCTCCCCCTCCTCCTCCTCCTCCCTCCTCCTCCTCTCCTCCTCCTCCTCCTCCTCCTCCTCCTCCTCCTCCTCCTCCTCCTCCTCATCCTCCTCCTCCTCCTCCTCCTCTCCTCCTCCTCCTCCTCCTCCTCCTCCTCCTCCTCCTCCTCCTCTCCTCATCTGCCTCCTCATCCTCCTCCTCCTCCTCCTCCTCCTCCTCCTCCTCCTCCTCTCTTCCTCCTCCTCCTCCTCCTCCTCAACCTCCTCATCCTCGTCATCATCATCATCATCATCATCATCATCATCATCATCATCATCATCATCATCATCATCATCATCATCATCATCATCATCATCATCATCATCATCATCATCATCATCATCATCATCATCATCATCATCATCATCATCATTATCCCTCGGCAGGCCGCAGCGCCTGATGCGCCTCACGGCGCCCTCGACCCCGCCCTTGGTGAGGCCCTCAGCCAGAAGGTCCTGACATCGGCGATGAGGATTCTCGTCTACGTGGACTGCCAAGGCTGAGAATCAACGCCACAGGGTTGCTTCGACAGTGCGGTCAGTCCGTTTTGGGCGCAAGCGCCTGCGAATGCTATCAGATGCGGAGGTCTGGCTCCTCGTTGTAGTTCTACACTACGGAGCTAAGCCTCGAGCGGAATTCTGTGCGACGTGTAAGTGGCACTTCAAACAGACTGCAAGACAAGTACCACACGAAACTAAATGCGGCACTGCATCATAACTAGCACCCAAGGCTAGGACCGTTCAGCGAAGAAGATGAAGAAGAGTCTCAAGGATGTTCCGAAGTTCTCGGGAGTTAGGGGGAATCCTAGGGAGCTCTGAAAGGGGTTCTGTGGGATATTCCTCCTCCCCTGTCTCCCTCCCTCCCTCACGATGATGGGGTTATCGTTTGGCCTTGCGGATTTTCAGGAAGCGTCCCTTTCGTCGGCCCGAATCCCTGCCACGCGCCGAATTGGGACCATCTGAATATACTTGCGCAGATCGGCTTCGGGGGTCCGGAGATGGCACTGGTGACGATGAAGTGTAAGGTACTGTAAGGATATGGCTTAGAGGGGACTCTGAAAGAAAAGTTAGAACGGACACACATGTCGGGGGGAGTGAATAGGGCGCCCCTCATTCACTCTTCTGCAAGTCTGCTCGCAATTAAGGTGGCGCCGCTGGGTGGTTTTTGACGATGCGTCGTCGTTGAGTGGCCTCTGCAAAGTTGAGAGGCGCATTGGGTGCTTTGTTGAGCGGCACATTCCAAGTTGATGGGCGCGCTGGGCTCTTGACTGGATAACTCCCTGCCAATTCACCTCGATGCGCTGGCTTCAACTTTGGAGGGCCAGGGCGAGCTCCCCGCGGCGCGACTTCAATGTTGTTTCTTTCACGCGTGACCAGATTTGCAGTCTCTCCCCGTTCTCCCCGCTGGTCTTGGCTGCCTTCCGAACTGCCCGTTCCCCTCTTCCTTCCCTTGGTCCCAGAGCCCACGCCGTCGGCCAGGGGTCGCGGAGGAGATCGGGGGGGGGGCGCAAATCTGCCCGACTGAACTGTTTGCTGCATGCGGGTTCTGGACCCCGCTGCCTCCCACTTGGACCCCGTGGTGGCACAGCATTCGACGCACGCCCAGTTGCGACAAAAAGGGCAAGGCTCCACGAAGGCCAAACAGGCTCTGACCACTCACCCACGCGAGCCTGCGAGCCTGCGGCCACAGGGTCGGAGTGGCCAGGGAGGGTATCGAGCTGGCGGGCCCGTGGAACAGGCAGATGCGCCCACACCGAGTAGCATTCTTCAGCGAACGTCGTCTCCCTCTCTCTCTCTCTCTCTCTCTGTCTCTCTCTCCCTCTCTCTCTCTCTCTCTCTCTCTCTCTCTCTCTATCGCGAAACTCGTCTCCACCCTCCCCTCGAGAGGGCGCAAGAAATCGTTCTTCAGTGCCGTCCAGGGTTCCTCTCGGGTCCCACATGGGATCCTCTTGGAGCCCAGGGGGGGCGTTCCTGGGATCCACTGGGGCACAAGAAAGACCACCACGCTGAGGACAGGGGCCCTCTTAGGTCCCACTTGGGATCCTCTTGGGGCCCTCTGGGGGGCGTTCCTGGGCTCCCCTGGGGCCCAAGAACGGCCGCCACGCTTAGGACAGGGGCCCTCTTAGGTCCCACTTGGGATCCTCTTGGAGCCCTCTGGGGGGCGTTCCCGGGCTCCCCTGGGGCCCAACAAAAGACCACCACGCTGAGGACAGGGGCCCTCTTAGGCCCCATGTGGGATCCTCTTGGGGCCCTCTGGGGGGCGTTCCTGCGCTCCCCCGGGGCTCGAGAACGGCCGCCACGCTCAGGACGTGTTTGCTCATGTTCGGCCTTGCGACGGCCCAAGACGGCCCCATAGGATACCTCCAAGACACCCAAGATGGCCACCAAGACGGCCCTCAAGCGCCCAAAGAGGGCCCCACGTCGGTCTTGAGAGGCCCGCAAGACGGCTCCCAACAGCGTCAAACGGGCCAGGAACGCCCTCAGACGCCGAAGGCGCATCCCAAGGAGCCTCCCAAGGCCCCCAAGAGGCCCAAGGAAGCACTCAAGAGGCTTCAAAAAGGCCCCCAGGAAGTTCCCACCCCCATCCAAGAGTGCCACAAGAAGCTCCCAAGAGGCCTCCTCCTCCTCCTCCTCCTCCTCCTCCTCCTCCTCCTCCTCCTTTTCCTCCTCCTCCTCCTCCTCCTCCTCCTCCTCCTCCTCCTCCTCCTCCTTGTTGTTCCTCCCCCTCCTCTTCTTCTCTCTCCCCCACGTGTTCCCCGACGGGTTTCCAGAACGGCTGGGGAGCACATAGTCCGATAGCTTGGCCGAGCTCTGGCCGCAACGTTCGGCCACACAGGCGCTTCCAAAAGGCAGGCGACGGCGGTGATTCGCCGTAGAGGTCTTCGATCCGCGGCCACCTGTACCTGCCACAGGGGTGCACGGCGTGCCAGATAGCAGGGGGCTCTTGCCCTTCCAAACTGTTCCAAATGGGGTCTCGGCCCATCGCGCCGACCACCCGGAAAACCCCTGGGTCGTGGGCCTTCCCGATCAAGACGGCCCAAAGATGGCATCCAAGACTGCCAAGATGGCCTCCACGACGGCTATGATGGCCCACGAGAACCGAAGATGGCCCCGAGATGTCTCCAAGCCGGCCCAAGATGCACCCAAGACGGCTCAAGACAGCCCAGACTCTGCCGAGGGCGGGAGGCCAGCTTTTCGGCACGACAACGACGACGACGACGACGACGACGACGACGACGACGACGACGAAAACGACGACGACGACGACGACGACGACGGGGCCGTCGCCGAGCGTCCAACACGCGGAGAAGCCAACGACTCAAAGCGCGGCCGCGCGGGCGGCGGTGCGCGGCCACCCAGGAGCCCATGGGCATCCGCGTGCGAGCCCTGCCCCTTCAGGTCAGCTCCCTAGCTGCCCCGCTACGCAGCACCCAACCCGTGAGCTCAACACGTAGACTGAAAACGTAGGTCTGGCGCGATGCGTTTGCCACAACGTGGCCCAGCACGTGCCGAGCCCACCAGCAGCGTGATAACACGGACGTTTTGAACATGGCACGTGCTGCGTTTCAGGACGGGCGCGTCGGGGCAGCTAAGCAGCTCTCTGAAACACCTGGGGAGGGCCCAGGGTCCAGGGGTGCCTGCGGCAGGGCAATCGGACCCACAAGGGAGGGGCTAGCAACTGGTCGCGGGGTCGGGCGGCCGCGCTCCTCGAAGCTGCTCGAGAGGCCAATCTCGTCCACCTCGCCAGACACGAGGGAGGCGAGGAGGGGCAGGCCCCAGCGACGACGCCACGCCCCGCGCGGCCGCGGCCCACTCCATGTCCAACTCCCTCCTCCTCTGCTCCTCTGCTCCTCCCCCTTCTCCGCCTCCTCCTCCTCCTCCTCCTCTTCCTCGTCCTCCTCTTCCTCCTCCTCCTCCTCCTCCGTGTCCTCCTCCTCCTCCTCTTCCATTTCCTCCTCCTCCTCCTCCCTCCTCCTCCTCCTCCTCCTCCTCCTCCTCCTCCTCCTCCTCCTCCTCCTCTTCCTTTTCCTCCTCCTCCTCCTCCTCCTCCTCCTCCTCCTCCGTGTCCTCCTCCTCCTCCTCCTCCGTCTCCACGCCGAAGGAGAGAAGGGACAGAGGCGGGCCAGCAGCAGCAGCAGGGGGGGAAGTAGTCCCGAACAGTCCACCTGCCAAACGGGGGTCCGCGCGGACCCCTCCTGGGTCGGCGCTAGACCCCCCTCCCGGTTGCGCGCCGCGCTGCCGGTGAATCGGGGGGAGGAGGAAAAAGGACAGCGGCAGCCAGGCCGCAGGAAAAAACAAGCAGGGGCGACCGGCTGAAGGAGAGGAGGAGGAGAGGGGGCGTCGAATCACGTCGGCGGGGGCGGAGGCCGGAGGCCACCGCACCGCGGCGGGGTCCGGGAGGCGGGAGGCTCCGGCCACCATCGCCACCATCGTCACGGTCGTCGGCGGTGGGGGGCGGGGGCGGCGGAGCGCGGGGGGCGGGGGGCAGCAGCCGCGCAGCCGTCGCCGTCGTCTGCGTCGTGGTCCCTGCGTCGTTGTCGGCGCGGGCGTTGCCGCGGGCAGTGGCCCTGCTAGCGCCTTCCCGCTAGTGTCGGCTCAAGAGAGTCGGGGCGCCCCTGGTAAAGCCTCAGCGCCCGACGGCCGCCAAGATAGTCTCGGCGTTGCCGAGATGCAGCCGGGTGCTGAGCTGCTGCCACCCATAACGGATGACCTCTGTCCGCTCCGCAGGGGCCATGTCGTGACCCCAGGAGCGGACGTACGCCACGGTGGCGTCTGCCGGTCACCGCGTCGCGGGTGGCGACGTCGAGCCGCGCCTCTTCGAGGCGCCCTGTCCGCGGGCTCACCCTGTCCCAAGCAACAACTCGTTGCTCCGTCTGCGCTGCGTGTCCCGTGGTCCGCTGGTGGTAGCTGGCGCAGAAGTCCCGGAGGCCGTTGTGTTTGTTGTTGCGGTAGGGGCCGCACGGGCACTTCAGGGCGTGGCGGCCGCGTCGGTCGAGTGCCTCCCCGCACAGCGTTCCGTCGGCCTTGCGGAGCTTGCAGGTCGCGCCCGGCGGGCACACAGGCAGGCGCAGCTTGTCCTTGAGGGCGATGCGGAAGTGTTCGTCTGGCATTCTAGCGGGCGTCTCACCCTCGCGGACGACGATCGGCTCCAAGTACCCTCCTGCGCCAGGGCCGCCTGAAGAGCGGAAGTCCACCCTGTCGTCTGTCCCCAGAGAGGCCAGCAGCCGCTCGCGTGCCTTGCTGCGGAGGTCGCCCGCCCACTTCCCTTGCATCCGTCTCCTCCTCCGTCTCCTCCTCCGTCTCCTCCTCCTCCTCCTCCTCCTCCTCCTCCTCCTCCTCCTCTTCCCTCTCCTCCTCCTCTTCCTCCTCC